GAGCTGGACACGCCCACTTTTCTGACTTTTTCGAAAGTAGAGGTGTGAAAACACCCTGCTGAAACGAGGGGGTTTCATGGCCCTGTCTTTAAGTGTTTTGTTTTTTTGCTTAGGATTGCCCCTTTTTCCCCTTTTAAAATTAAGAGTGTTGCATAAAATATTAATTAAAGTTGTTTTAATTTAATAAGTAATATTTCTTTCCTCCATCCTCCTTGAAGATGTTTAATTAACGCATTATAATCTTTGCACATTTCCTTCAGACTCAGGCAGCAGGCCATCCTAAATTAAAGACACAGTAGCCACTAACCTTCAGTTGTGGAGAGTTTGTCAAGTTTAAAAGGTGTGTTTGGGTTTATTTATTTATTTTGGAGATGATACAAAATAAGAATACAACAGAAAAACATTTAACTTTACAAATTATGTATCAACTTTTGTAGGCTCAACACAATAACGTTATATTAGATAAAAAAGCCTAGATATACAAACAAACAACGGGTATAACAATTTAGGTGTATACGATACAAATAAATTAAACAGTTTTGAGCCAATTTAAACGTTCATTTTACAAAAGCCTATAGGAAAAAAAGATATTTTAATCTTTTAAAAAAAAACAATAAACAACGTACAGGTTTTGCAATATTATTCATAAAGTATATTGTCAGGAGCCACGGGTAATAATTTATCTGTTTTTTTTTACTTTCAAGGTGATAGTTGCCATTGACTTGCCAGTTACCAACGACAGTGGTTTCTGATTAAACTTTCTTCTCTGTTCTACTAAAGAAAAAAAAAGTAACTTTCATCTTGAATTGTATTAGATTTGGTAAATAAACAGCTAATTTAAATTTTTGACTAAACTACAAATTTAAAAAAGGAAGGTGCAATGTCTTTTCCAATAAACTAGTTGATGGTTTAATAACATTCATGTATGTTTATGTTTTTAAAGAAGTCTCTTTGTTCACCAAGGCTGAATTTATTTGATTTAAAAAAAGAATACTGTAAATTAATATTCCAATTTAAAAATATCTGATAAAGGTAAAATTCAGCCAAAAATGTCATTTCTATCATTGTTTACTCATCGTTTACTTTTTTAAACGTTTATGGACTTCTTCTATCTGTAAAATGCAAAAAAAAAGAAAAAAAAGATATTTTGAAAAATGTCGGAAGTCTGTAACCATTAACTTTCATAATATTTGTTTTTCCCACTATGGAAGTCAATGACTACAGCAGGATTTAAACATTCTTCAAAATATTATCTTTTTTGTTGTTGTTTAACAGAAAAAGTCAATTCATAAAGGTTTGTAATAACTTGGAGAGTAAATAGTGAGCAAACTTGTATTTTTTTGGGGGGGTGGGGTGGGGGGGGGACTATCCCTTTAATCCTGGTGAATATTTTAAAATGTATTTTAAATGTGATTCAAATCTGAATTTTCAGTATCGTTAAGAGTCTTCAATGTCAAATTAACCTTCAGAAATCACTCTAGGGTGTGTTTTTTGCTCTGTTACAATCAGTTTTTTATTGGAGTTCAATCATTAATAAATGTACTTACCAATTATAGATCTTTTTTTTCAACTTTATATTTCTTTGGAATTTTATTTATCATGATACTATATGATGAATACAACGTTAAAAATAGGCAATAGCATTTAATAGAAATAAAATATTTTTATAACATTATAAATGTCTTTACTTTTAATCAATTTAATCAATGCCAATTTGATAATGCCAAAACCTTTTAATCAATTTAATATGTCCTTAATATTTAAAAGAATTATACTTAAATCAGTTTACAAAAATTAGGAACAGACAGAACCCTTTCAACACTGATGATGGTGATAATGATAGGAAAGACAAGAAACATTTTCTTTAGCCTTAAATTATCATATTAGGATTATTTCCAAATGATCATGCAACACTGAAGTCTGGAGTAATGTCTGCTCATTTATCTTTGACTAAAAAACATTTTGATATCCAGAGAAAAAAATATATAGACTTTCATTCATATTTCCTTTATATTGATGTGTTCATTGTACTTTCAATCAAATAATGCATTACTGAGAAGCATAAGCCATCATCTTTCAAAAGAGTTTATCAAAAACTCTCCATTTAGTTTTAACAGAGGTCAATACAGAAAGCATAATATACCATTATAAGCCCACATGGAGTGGAATCACTGTCTGGCTTGCAGGGGCTTCAACCTAATCCATAAATTCTGAGTGACACATCCAGAGGAAAGAAATTAACAGTGCAGAGGTGAGTGAATGGCGAGACGCCGTACATCACCTGTGTGACTGTGTCTGAAAAACAATGACACATTCCACCGCAGGGAAGTGTGACTGCTCTGCCCCCAGGTCAGCAGGTACACATCATACCAGAGCATTGGGTTACTCAAGACACTGATGATCATGATACTTGGATAGTTAGCGCCGAGAGTGCAATTATTCCAACAATAAAGGTATTCTTTTACTAGGCTTTTCATCCATTGAATCTAGCAGTAAAAATAGACTGGCTGTGTATAGATCAAAGACAAAAGTAGGCTTTAAGGATCAAAACAATAGATAAAAGTACAAAACTAATTATTTTACTAGTTTGTCAGAAAGAAGGTTTCTAATTATAAAAAATGCTGGGGTTTTGTAATCAAATGTTAGGTCAAAGGGCATCCATTGCATAAAAATATGCTGTGGATAAGTTGGCGGTTGATTCCGCTGTGGCGACCCCAGATTAATAAAGGGACTAAGCCGAAAAGAAAATGAATGAATGAATGAATGAATGAATAAGTCTACTAATTTAGCTTGATTATTTATTCTTGTATACATTTTAAAAAGTAGAGCTCAGGATAAGTGTAGTTTCACTTTTTAAATAACTGTATATTCTTTACATTTCGATGAAAATTAAACTTTTTTTCGTTGACCGATATATTTTCAGAACTTTTAATTTTTAATATTTAATTTATCCCTTATTTTGGCATTGTGAACTGGACACATTTACTGTATAAGATATACACCACATCAAACTGTAAAAACCATGTTTAACCATTCTTATTTTCACAGCTGTTATTTTCCAACAAAGTCAATTGAATCTAAATGTTCATAAACAAGTAACAAAAAATTAAAGCAGTTTTCATCTGAAATGTGTTGCTTACACCTTAAAAATGCTGGATTGTATTAACCATTGGATTAAAGTGTTGTTTAAATTTAATAAAAAATACAAATAAAATAATATTAAAAAAAAGAAAAAATAAATAGAATAAATAAATAAATAAAAATCGCAACATTGGCTGTCAATATTTAATTTGACCCAACGTTGGGTTACCAACCCAGCATTTTTCGAGTGTATGAATAGATTAGACAATATCCACCAAGACTCTAAGCAACCTTGATCATTGGTTTACCGTTTACACATTAATCTACTGCTGACACGACTGCACGAAAGCAGCTTTTGTGTGGTCCTGCCATCTATCAGGTCTTTTTTTGATTACATTACAGCCAAGTAAAACATACCGATTCAGCAGAGACCCAACTAACCAACTACATTATCACTTTCATCAACATTCCTTAGTTAGTTACTTCAGTCTCATTTTCCCCCATTTCTTTTAAATAATGTTTGTGCTACAATCAAAAAACTGTTCAAACTGTAAACTACTTATTTTAAATGAGGTTAATCCACACATTTCTTGTGTTTTTTGGAGGACAACTTAATTGTCTTATGTTTGATCTACTTAAAGTTGTAAAAAAAATTGATAAGTTAACTTAATTCCTTCATGTTACTGCAACAAATCGATTGTGTGGAACCTAGAATTTTTTTTTTGGAAGAGTTTGGAGCTGGACACAACTCCAATTGTAAAACTTCAGCATTCAGGACTCTCAAAAAGCTCAGTGGAAAAAGGCACTTGGGTGATTTGGAGGCTGAGTCAGCAAGCAGACCTTTGGCCGCCCTGAAAAAAAAATATAAGAGAGGAGGGAGGCAGGGGGCAAAGGAAGTGAGGGATGGAAAGGGATGGAGAGAGGAGGGAAAAGCAAAAGAGAGCTGACATTCCTGCACCGTGAGTCAACGCCGCTAGGCACTTTTCTGGCAATCGTTCACTACCTTTACAACTTAAAGCGCTGGCTCTATTCTGATAACAGGAAGAGAGAGGAGGCTGAAAGTGCAACTAATAAAGCTGTGGGTTTGCTTAGGATGTGCGACGGGGGGACATTTCTTGGAATGTCGTTCATGGCTACCCCAGTAACCCTTTTGGTAAGGAGTAAACAAGACCTCCCTAAATTCAGACAGAGCACTTAAATGCAAAGCACTCAATGAAAGCATTATGAGGCAAGGCCTATACTCCTGCTAGCAACAGTTAAGTAGTAAAGGCCAATTAGTTTCACCTAATAAAGCTAGAGCGTTCCTCATAACTTGGCCTCATGCTTTGATTTCCAATAACACATGACTGCATTCCTGCCCTATGTAGTGTGCATATCTGTGTCGCGCTCCCCCTCAGCCCTGGGCAGCATTCCTGAGAGGAGTGGGGTGACATCCGTCAGCAGGACCTCTGATGATCCCCTGTGCAGCCTAATTCATTACTTAAATTACAATAGAAAAGTATGTACATTGGAGGGTTGACAGCAAGAATGTGTGCCACACAAGCTATCAAATAGCCTACTTGCTTCAGCAACACAGACATGCTTATTAGTAGCTTGTGTTCATATATCACTAAAAGTACATGAGTATGTCTTCAGGCCATGAGCAGGTTGGCTTGTATGAAATGTGTCAGCACTGCGCATGTCAATGCAATTCATTCACTGCAAAAGGATGCAAAGTTTGCAAGTACAGCTAATAAACAAGTTTCACAAAATGTCTTCGGGTTTTCAAAGCACCTACACGCTAATAAACAAGTGTAGCAAAGTAGCGGTGAAACGTGTGCAGGGTATGTTGACTACACACGCAGAAATGTATTAACAAACGTTGTAAAAACAAATAAACATCAATATTAAACACGAAAAGAATGGTATAAGTTATTTACCTTCGCAGGTTTTCAATAAGTTCCGCTTTATTTCGGTCTGCCGCCGGGTTTGTGCGTTTTAAGTCCTTTACACGTTTTTTCGGTTCAAGCCAAAGCGTCGAAAACACTTCACAAAACTTAAAACGTGTCAACACGAGAAGACTTTCCAACAATCTCTGCACTTTTCTTCCCTCTTCTGAGTGTCATTTTCTGAGCTGGTCAACTGTGTTTTCCTCCAGAAGTGTGTGTGTGTGTTGGAGCTGTGAGGGGAAGGACTAACACTGCCCTCTTCTTCATCTGAACCGTAAAGTCGTCGTTGCAGCGAAATTACTTACAAACTCAATAGTTTGTGAGGAGGAGAAAAATGCGGTCCCGTTTCCTGAGAACTTTGAGGGAGTCCAAAGGAGTTTTGAGTAAGCCCCTTCCGAGAGTTTCTCGATTGTTCCTCTTCTTCTGTTGGCTTTAAGGAACGTCGCTCAAGCAAGAAAATGACAAAAAGCTTTTGTGTGTTTTGAAGATCAGGAGCCTGTCAAAGGGTCTTATGTGCAGCACAGCCCACAGATTTAATGACTTCAGAGGGACATAATTGGAGAGATTTAGGTGTCCTGCTTTCCTCTACAATAAACCCTATTTTAGTTAAATAGGACATTCTACTAGAATAAAATAAAAAAATACAGTGAATAAAAATTATTTCATCCCAAAAAAATGTATCAAAATCGACTGATGGTTGATTTCTGTGAGTTGTTCTGTAACGGATGTCATTTATTTGGTTTTCAGATTTTTGTTCTTTATAAAAAACACTTTACAAATGTACAAATCCTTGTCCTCAGCCCAATTGAACCAAAAGCTTCAATAGTTTTGTTATGCTAAAAACTGTTATTTAAAGGGGAAAAAAACCTTAAAAAATAGCAAAGTTTAAGTTGTTATCATTCACATCAATTAATTAAAAACATTAAATTATAAATAAATTATACAAAAAACCAATATATAACAATACAAATAAATTAACAATTGTCCCCACATTTCTGTCAGTCCTGTCACATTTGCATTAAATTTAACAAAGTGCAATACATCTTTAAGGCTATGACTCATTGTTGATGGAGAAAATGACAGTGATCAAGGATGCATTCTATCATTGAATTGTATGATTTTATGCTTGTTGTATGATTTTTTTTTTTTTTTTTTTTGAGGAAGACAAGCTTAAAGGTCAGGCCTTGTCACGTTTTTATAAGTAAAAATGTACGTTTCTGACAGAATATCCCAAATAACTAACTAACTAACTTTTTTATATACTGAACAAACTGTAATAGTGAACAGAAGTTGACGACTTTAAAAAAAATTTAAATAACTCCAAAATAACTTTATTTGTTACTTTTAAGGAGTAGTTCAGCCAAAAATAAAAATGTAATCATTTACTCTGTTTACTAGTTTCAAACAAATGTTTGTTTCACAAACACAAAATACAGTTAGAAAAATGGTAAAAACCTGTATCTTTTGATAAATTTGTTTTCTACTATGGAAGTCAATAGTTACAGGTATTCAGCTTCTTTACAGAGGCAAACTATAAATAAAATACTATACAGTTGTTTGTCAAAAATGAACTATATAAAGTATTATGCTTATGTAATTTTTTAACTATGTTTTTATTAAAGTGTTTATAAACTTAGTATACACATAACGTTTACTTAGAATATTTACATTCACAAAAATAAACAAATAGATTTAAAAAAAACAATACATAAATTATAATAATAAATAAATAATAGTAACAGCTTAAAATATATATATTATGTTAAATTCAAAAAGTATATACTCCAATTATTAACTCCAATAAAAAGACAATAACTACAACAAAGCCCCTAATGCTGACAGCATTTCAAAAATAAAGTAAATATCTTTCGTTTAATGCCCAGGTCTGTTGGAAAATGCTGCAAATCTGCAGTCATTTTGTCATATATATATATATATATATATATATATATATATATATATATATGATTCAGCCTCTGTGTGCATTCTGTCAAAGTAGGTCGGAGGGTCTTCATCCATTCATTCATTCATTTTCTTGTCAGCTTAGTCCCTTTATTAATCCGGGGTCGCCACAGCGGAATGAACCGCCAACTTATCCAGCAAGTTTTAACACAGCGGATGCCCTTCCAGCCGCAACCCATCTCTGGGAAACATCCACACACACACTCATACAGTACGGAAAATTTAGCCTACCCAATTCACCTGTACCGCATGTCTTTGGACTGTGGGGGAAACCGGAGCACCTGGAGGAAACCCACGCGAACGCAGGGAGAACATGCAAACTCCACACAGAAACGCCAACTGAGCCGAGGCTCGAACCAGCGACCTTCTTGCTGTGAGGTCCTACTTGCAGCTCTACCTACTGCGCCAGTGCATCGCCGGGTCTTCATCCAGTTCACTGTAATTATCTACCTAACTGTCATTAATAATATATGTAGTGCAAATAGGTGAGTCTTACAGAACTGATCAGGGGAAGCCATCAAGCAACCAAATATACTCTGTGTATTGGTTTACTCTACTAATCTCCCTTTTAACCTCCTGCACCAATACACGTGTATTTTGGGACATTACAAAAATATGTGATTGTGAACATAGTCCCCCACTTGTCCACAATCTCTCCAGCATTGTGATAATTGTGAAGAACTATCGAATTTGTCAACCTCTAATGGAAATCTGAAGAACCTCATCTTCATCCTCCAGTTAAACTCCTTTCATATTTTACTGCTTATACTCTCATGACAATTTGTGCGGATTTGTTCTTACATTTCATCCTCCATTATAGTGTTTACTTTTAATTCCCATTTTCTTTTGATATAATAGGAGCCATCAGATTTATATGCATATGTTAATTAAATCACCAAAAATCATGTCAAGTTTTTCATAAACAAAATTTAAACCATGTTTATCTATATCCCCACTGCTGAGAAGCTAGTTTGAAGAACACAGAATTTTCACGTCTTTCCACGGTAACTGGTAATCATACTTAATACAAGTCACTGTACATGCAATCCTGTTATGATAAATCTACCACTAAAACATTTTGTGTGTTAATGTTCATTTTTCTTTGTACAGCTGTACAGCAATAGCAAACGGCTGCATATGCCAAAGCTTAATGGTAATGGCATGTGCTTGAAAGATATCTTTCAACTAATCAACCACAATAGCACACCCTTTATGCCTCCATCCTTTCTTATAATTTCAAAGACGAATAGTTCTACATTTGTTTGGTGAAGTAATTGTGGAAATGTTTATTCTGGGGTTTTGTATAGAACAAAGGATTGTTACTGACAGGTCCAAACTTGTACAATAAACATTACCTGCCTCACAAAGAAACAGACTATTACATATGACAAAAATACTGTATTGTCTCAGTTTGCTTAATTTTCTTACAGTGACGAAATATACAATCAGTTTGAAGACAAAATTAAATAAAAAGTAGGTTTAAATTAAATGTGAAAGCTTTTAGTTAGAAAATATGATTGAAAACATAATAAAAGTCAAGCATGTATCCCTAAAACTGAATCTGTGACGTTTAAAAGATCCACTCCAGAAATTAAATTTTCTGTCAAGACACATATATAAAACTGTTTATGTAATCTTACTTTCTAATATGCTGAAAAAATATAACGGCATCACAATATATATTAACGTCTCAACAGAACACTGTAAATGAGCGCCCTCTTGTGATAGAATCATGTTTAACAATGAAAACAGATTAATTAAAGGGATAGTTCACTCAAAAATGAGTTTGTTTTTACAGTACAGTAGGCTACATTACTCTCCATCAGAAGTAGGTGACGTTTTTCTTCAAAACAATATTAAAGAAGATACTTTTTACTAATTAAAAAATCCATTTACTCTACAGTCATATTTAAAGGGCCATGAAACCCCCTCGTTTCAGCAGGGTGTTTTCACACCTCTACTTTGGAAAAAGTCAGAAAAGTGGGCGTGTCCAGCTCTGTTTAGGGGGGAGTGTCGGAGGAAGAAAAGCGGCTTGGTATGGGAGTGTCTATTTGGGCGCGCTGAATTTCAGAGTCAAAACACACAACCACAGCGGACAATGTGACTGTGTTTACATGGACATCTGTAGTCGAATTATTTGCCAAATTATTAAATGGTGGACTTTAACTGCAGTTTGGCTCTTTCATTCAGGGAATTCATTCATGTCCCTCCCGACAAACGTGATATTTGATTCGAGGAACTGCTCTAAGCGTGTATTTTTCATGCAATTATTGATACCGCACGGCGAATGAGAGAAAAAAAAACTCAGCATTTCCCGGAAACTTAGATACACACGGCAGGTAGCGTCAGAAAGCCGCGTGTGTTATTCCGGTCACAAAATCCAACACGAGGTTATAGTTTGGTTGTAACTGTTAGTGCTAACTATTGCACTCGGTGCAATAGTTTGTTTGATACGAATAAAATACGAACTGAATAAACAAAGAGCACTGGTCACTCACTTACCAAATCTGTAGAGACAGGACAATCACCAGCAACGAGAGCCGCGTCTTTATTTAGAGGAGACTACAATCTGGATCTCAGCGTTTGCAGATGAGAACAGCATTCAGGTAAACAATAATCCTCCTTAAGACACGTAAGTTATTGTTGTCGCGCGTCGCGTACACTGTTAATCCACGCGTGAGTCTGAGCTCTCACAGAGAGAAAATGAAAACGAAACTTAACTGCAGCAAACTATAAAAGCAACACTTCCCGCTTGTTTTGCCAACACAACGTGGCGTCTTTGCCGTCTACACTGTGACAGTAATGAATATTAATGAAGTTGCACAATAGAGCGCGCTGATTGGTTTGAACCAAGCCTTACTCATGCATTAATGCAACACACTGTAAGACGTAATAAGACACACTCTGGTACAGACGTCCAGTCTGCACTCTGGAATACACGCTATTATGTCATGACCGTGACGCAGCTTCAAAAATTCGTTTCAAACAGGAAGTACAAATTTGCTTGAAATAACGCAAAAACAACCAATTTACACTTTTTAGTGAAATATATGTGTCCTAATAGTGTTTTTAGCAGTGTGGGACACATATACGACTGTCAACAGCTCAAAAAATGTGTTTTGGTGTTTCGTGACCCTTTAAAGTTCATCCACGACCAAAATCTTATCTAAATAAATGAGGGAATCCTGAAATCTCCAAAAAACTGCTCACTGAACTCACAATTAAATAAAAATTTTCAATTCAGCAATAAAATCAGTAATTACCTGTCCCATTATTGTATTTCCTTAAGCACTCATTACAATTAAAGCATGACATTTTCAGTTTGATGAAAATAATGGTAAAATTAAGCTTTCTGAACCAGTGAAGCGTATCGGAAAAAGGTTTATTACTCAAAGATTTCCAAATTAGAGTTTGGTGAGGACCTCTGCTGGTTAAAGCGTGGAAAAGAACTGCATTGCAAAAATGTCAAACATTCACAACTGACCAGCTCATTCATGTGACAATACAACAATAGCAGAAATCCCAAGTCTCC